TAGTGTTTGTTAGCAAGACTTTGTATGTTGCGAGACAAGGGAAGGGAGTGTCCAGCTCAAAGGATCAAAAACTACCACAACACAAACACAAAACAAAAAAATGGAAAAACATTCTGTCTTTGTGCTTCGTTTAAATATAAATTTTCTTTACTGACATACAAAAACAATGCTATCACTTAAGTTTTTATATATTGAAAAGTTTTTGTTTAGACCCTTTTAAAAAATTTATTGAGCTTTTGTATTTTTCCTACAACAGTTCTTAATCAAATTTAGATACCCTCTCCCATCCATGCACCACCCCCTAACCAGACCTCATACATTCTACCATGCATGTTAGGAACTATCCAGTCAAGCATTTGTACCCAGATGGCCTTTGGTGAAGGTTCATTCATTCTCCCTCAGCCATTAGCAATCAATCTCCAAAAGTTCCCAGTTTATGGTCAGTCCACCGACCATACCTCCCACTCCGTTCTGGGTCATTGTCTGATTGTGTTGACATGGGTCTTGTCTCAATGCCACCATTGCTACAAGTTCACATGTGCCAGTTTCCATTCTCCTGAAGCCTCTGTTCCCTATGTTCATGGACCAACCCTGTCTCTTCCAATCTTTCTGCCCTCTCTTTAGAAATGATCCCTGAGTTGAGAGTGGGTAGATCTTGTTTTAACCCTTTTAATAAATCAAGGTTTATATTGCTTTCTTCTGTCAAACACCCACTATAGTTACGCATGTAAGTAAAACCCATGTAAATTATAAGATGGAGGCAGAGATGGCCAATAATCGAAAGTAACACAGTTGGGAGAGGTAAGAATCTGGGAACTTGTGCAGACATAGCAAACGAACCACCGTGAGTGGGTTGTGAGTGACCGCTGCAGTCTTAATGTCATTGGTGAACTTAGTCTCCTCCTGTTTGTCGAAGTACATTCTTTGATCTATATCCTTACTGTTTTGTTTCATCTTTGACAATTAGATGAGCAATATTGATAAGAATACTGTACACCTGTCCTATATCTAATACATTTCCAGAATCTATATTACTACTTCTTTATAACTTTACCATGATATGAGCAAAGGAGATATTTTTCTTGAATTGCTAATCTATAAGCAACCTCATATTAAAGATAAATGTCACCAGAAAACACTATAAAAGGCTTTAGGAAGATCTAGGCCTAATCTTCAAAATAGACCTGAGGGCTTTTGAATAAGGAAATAAGAAATAGGTGAGATGTGAGGTGTTGCACAGTGACGTATTCCTGGGCTAGCACATCAAATGCAGTGTTTTTCTCCATTTTGTTGGACAGAATGAGGAGTCCTAGCTGCTTTGCCAACCTATTAGATGATGAAGGGCTTCATGTATCAGTAGCCCCAGGGATTTTGGCTTCAACAACTCTCTCTACTCCTGACCTCACGCCGGCTAAATGCAACCCTCCCTTTTCCTAAGTGTTCTACTATGACACTGTTTTATGTCTGGCTTAATTAGTTTTCTACTGCTGTGATAGAACGCTGATCAAAACCAACTTGGAAACAAAAGGGTTTATTTTACCTTCAGCTTACAGTTCATCGTGAAGGGAAGACAGGGCAGAAGCTCAGTACACGAATGTATGTCCAGACCAAAGAGGAGTGCTACTTCTTGGCTCACCTCTCTGGCCCATGCTCAGCCTGCTTTCTTATACAATGCAGGACCACTTGAGCAGGCATGGGATTGCCCACATAGGAATGGGCCCTCCCACACCACTCAACAATCAAGAAAATGCCCTAAAGTCATGGCCACACGCCAATTTAATGAGAAATTTCCTCAGCCGAGGTTCCCTCTACCCACGTGTCAAGTTGACAACTGAAACTATCTAGCACACAGTCCATACCCCAAATCACCCCACATCTGTCATAAGCTTTTATTATTTTTCACAGAAGTTTTATGTCCACTCACATTTGTAAAAAGGGAACTGTCTGTAACTCTTACTCATTGTAATTAATCTCATAGACATTTAAAATATTTTTAGCAGTGCAACCAGGGTCATAAGTAGGAGCTCTAGCACTGATTGTCTAACTTATTCTACTTGTGGTATAAATGAGAGCTATACCAATGTGAAAACGTTGAGTTTTATTTTCATCAAGTTAAAATAAAAATAATAATGTTCAACATGTTGAAATATAAGGCCATCTCCTGCATATGAAATGTGTGGGATATTGTGATATACAAGTATGATAAATGCTCACGCTGCCACAGTGGATTACCTTATAACCTAACAAAGTCAAGAAGAAAGGGGAACTTTATGAGATGAATTTCTGCTTCCCACTGTGTGGAGAAATACAGGAAAAGGGAACCCTGAGAATCATATGGGCCACCATGACTACGGAAGTGACAAAAAAGATCTCAGATCTTCTAAGAAGCACATTTCTTTCAGCGCATCCTTCAGTAATTGACTCCCCATCAACCTGTCTTTGTTAAAATTATGTCAATTAAAGAAAGTGTAAGATGCATTTCTGAGGTAGCATGTTCAAAATTTGCCATGAAATACATTAATTCTCAACTCATGCATGGTTTGAGGGTAAAAGTCATCATGGCAGGGAAGGCATGGTTGCAGGAGTGGCTCTCAGCTGGGGCGTAAGCAGAATGAGGCTGCTTGCTCACATCTCAGCAGACCAGAAACCAGAGATGGAGGGGAAGATTGTTCTGAAGTGGGGCAGTTAGAACTCCCAAAATTGGCCCCAGTTATCCCCACCTCCTGAAGATCTCATGGCCTTCTCAAACACTGCCCTAAGCCTAGGGTCAGCTTAGGGTTAGCTTTTCAAATATATGAGCTTTTAGGGAACATCTCAAGCAATAACTTTCTATCCCTGGTTTCCATGGATTCATGTTCATCTTGTAATGAATACACATTCAGTGCAACTTCTAACTCACCAATCATCTTCAACATGTTGAATATTGTTCAAAAGTTTGAAGGATTGAGCTGAGCATGATGGTGCATGGCTTTAGTCCCAGCGCTCGGGAGGCAGAGGCAAGTGGATCTCTGTGAGAGTGAAGCCTGCCTGGTCTGCATAAGTGAGTACCAGGCCACTTGGGGCTATAGGGACGCCCTGTCTCAAAGAGACCAAAAAAGAGGTTCTAAGACCCATTTTTTTAAAAAAAAAAAATTTGTTTTTTTACTTTTCAAGCATGTGTTGTGGTGTGTGTGTGTGTGTGTGTGTGTGTGTGTGTGTGTGTGTGAGGTGTGTACAGATGCCCTAGGAGGCCATTGTAAACATAAATATAGTGCCCTCAAAGTCAGGGTTTTGGATTCTCTGAAACTTGAGTAACAGACAGTGATTTTGAGCTGCTGAATGTAGATATTGGAAAACAAACTGGGGTCTTCTGCAAGAGCAGTACAAATTCTTAATTGATGAACTGTTTATCCAGGCCCCAAAGTATCATCTAAACAATTATCAATTTTTTAAATGTGTGTTTTTGTTTAGCATGAATGTACTACAATGAACATGTAAGTCAGAGGCAACTTGCAGGTGTCAGCTCTGTCTTTCAACCATGTCGGACCAAGGGATTGAATATAGACCATCAGGCTTAGTGTCAAGCAAATGATCTGTGGAGCCAACTCACCAGCCCCAATGACCATCTTCTAAGTTGCAAGACAGTCTCTGCTCTCTATGCTTATTTGAAGTCAACTCATCTTATATATTTCCAACATATGATAGCACAGAACAAACATTTCCATTCCAAAGAGAAGAGACTGGGGTCCAAGAAAGGAAAGATCGGACTAGAGCAAGACAGCATCACAGCAGGACAAACCCCAAATCCTGCAGTTCTGTGTTGGGCATCTTGTGCTTGTGATGACATCCTCAGGGTTCCAAAGAGCTTGACCACCTGATTTCCAGCAGTTTTCCTCCTGAGTTGATGTCTCTCCTATCCTCAACTTTCCTCCATGAACAGTCTGTGATCCTGATACACCCATAATTGCCAGTTAGGTGTCACTTTCAAAGCTTCATGCAATGGTCTCTCAGGCCCTCTTTGCAGGGAGCCTACCCTTCTATACACTGGCCCCAGGAACTTTCTGGAACCTTGATGCAGTCACTCTTGACCTCCTCACACTTGTCCATATTCCTCTTCTAAACCAGTACCAAGGGCATACAGACTACATGATCAAGTTTATCACAGCAACATCCTCATACTGTGGTACTTGTCCACATTCCTCTTGCAAAGCAGTATCAAAGGGTATATAGACCACATTATCACAGCAATATCCCCATACCCTGGTAACAATTTTCTGCCTCACTGCAACTAAATATCTAGCAAAAAACACCAAAAAGCAAGAATGATTTAGTGTGACGCTTGGTTTGATGAGTCCCAAAGGTATTCAAATTTTGATATGGTGATGTGACATTGTGATCTACAAGTGAGTTGGGCAAAATGCATAGCTACCATGAGAAGCCTGTAACATACCTGGACCCTCAGAAGAAGGCAGAGATGGTGGCAGGAGAGACTCTCTGCTACAGAAGCCTGAGGTGATTGTTCATAGCTCTGCAGACTAAGAAGCAGATGGAAAGAGAAAGAGGAAGAGAGAGGGCGAGAGGAGAAAAAGAATTAGTGAGGCATGGAGAGGGAGAAGAGAGTGGATGACAGGGAGAAAGTCATGGAGGGAGGGAGAGTGGGAAAGAGATGACAGGAAGAGAGAGAGGGAAAGGGAGAAAGAGAGGAGAAAGAGCAGGAACAGAGATAGGTGTAGCCAAGATATAACCAGTAAGACCTGTCCCTCAGTGGCCCGTTCCATCAGTTAGAATTCACCCACTAATGGTTTCACAGTCTCAGCTATACCACCAACTGGGGAAAGAGTTCAAATACATGATCTGTGAGAGACAGCACATTGAAACCATGACAGGGAATTTTATTTGAAAACCCGTGTTTGTATGGGGAAAGAGGATAGACCAGCACAGAAGTGGGAAATGGCTCCTAGCATCAAAGGTAAATATGTTAACACATTTCCCTGTTTCTCTTCACGCCTTCGCTCTCTCAGGAATCCCAGATGAAAGCAATGAAAGAGACCGTACAGCTCTGCTTGACTTCTGTTTTCCGTGATCAGCCTCCTCCTCTGAGTCTCGTCCCCTCAAATCCAGTACAGATGTTACATCCAGCCAGGACGACTGCTGCCAAGATTCCAGATGCAAGGACGAAAAGCAAGGTACATTTCACTTCACTTTGGTGGTAATGACTGCTGAAGTGCGAGATTTAAAGCTCACTGTGCACCAGAGTAGACACAAGCAGAGTGCCGGATTCACAAAACGGTTAGGAAATACATAGGGACAGTAACTCAGTCTTGGTCAATGTGGTCACTCTGAGAACGTTGTAAGGTAGTATTTAGTTGTACCTGCATTACATGGTTACATGTAATACCTGTGTTACATGCTTACAAATACAGAAATGATACTTTCTTTGGAGGCATAAGCAACACTCTCCCAAAAGGTGCATAATTAACTCTGCTATTCATCCCAAGAGACCCACAGTGCATATTAACACCCTGCCACGTCGGAGGACCCCACCACATGTGTATCCAATTACATTATTTTGTGTTGGTTCCCATTCATTAGTAAGTTTTTAAAGCTCTAAGGACTTTTAATGTACCACCAAGATTCAGAGCAGCTGGTTTAGTATTGTTTCACTGAATCACCCCACCACCTGGAGAGGATTCTGTTTCATGCAGAATTCTTGGAGGAGATACCCTTCTCTCCCTTACTTACAATTAGAATGTATGTTGTAGATAGCACACTTTGAAATCTAAGCCAATAGGCAAGTTCTAAGATCCTGGTATAAAAAGTAAATGCTGAGAGTTCATATGAGCTTAATTCATTTCTAAGACTCCATATAGTTGGATTAAAAGGGGCATGGAAATTTTCAATTTAGGTGCAGAATCAAAAACTAATCAAAGCAAATCTTATAGTCTAGCTTCATTACTGATGAACATGGCCCAAACATTCAGTTCATATAGTTTTATGAAATATTAATATATTTCCTTCTAAAAATCTTATTAAATTTGTATTTTCATTGCTTCCTATCATCATGTTTAGTCTTATTATTTATTGAAGGATCATTATATTGTTGAAGTCTATGTTTTTCTGTTTTTACTGTCCTTTCTCTGATAATTCTACATCCAAGTATTTGTTTACTTAAAATGCAGGCAATACCAGCATATGAAAGTATACTGCTTTACGCTCATCCTAAAAAGTGCTCAGTATCTCCTACAATGATAAAGTGCACAGCTTCTTAACAATCTCACACTGACCAGTATGCCAAAACCTGGTCCTTTGTCAGAATCTGTGGCAGTTGCAAAACCTTAGTCTAAACCAACTGATGATTGTACAAAGGATCACTTCAGTTCTATGAGCATTTGAATTTTGTCTCTAACTCAAAATATAATTGCCTAAATTCATTATTAAAACTGGGCTGTTTATAACACGAAATACATAAAAGAAATTATTGAAGGCTTCTTTTGTTAGTTTTCTGGATGAAATGTATATCCTGTCATTGAAAATAATAAATGCTATTCTTTTTCTTGACTTAACATGGATCATAGTAGCCAAGATTTAAACAAGCATAGTTTGAAGATCACTTAGTTTCCAAAAACTAATAATAAAAAATCCAATTATATAAGATTAATGTCAATAAATCTAGGTTAATGTAATGCACAGTGCTGTATTTTAGATATTATCATTAAAAGCTTGTCTAGTATTTATATTTTGCCTGTATTCTTTATCTTTTTAATAGTGACTGAAATTGCGTTTTATGTGTGCTTGGGCATAATCTCCAGGAAGATGCCTAGCAGATAATATTCTTCCAAGTTCTGAATCTAGAAGATGTATGGTATACATGAGGAAAACAAACTCCTCAGGCACAAAAGTTGTTTTCTTTCCTCTGTTAGCAAAAAGTAACAAGTTGACTATGTGTGAAGGTTCGGACTGAACCCATGGCCTTGCAGAAGCTAGGTAAATGCCCCACAACTGAGCTACATTCCAAACCCACAAAAAATTTTGGATTGCCACATTTAACTAATCTTCAGAAAATCATCTGTAGCCCAGGTTCATGGTGTATCTGAAAACTGTACAGCGTCACCTCACTCCATTTCTCTGAAAGTGAAACCTCAGGGAGAATGCGAGACTGCTGTTGTGATGTGAGCACTCACAGCAAAGTTCCGTCTTTCAGTTTCTATTCCACCTCATCAGTTCCATCCACTTTCATTTACTTTTTATGATCTTTGTTATTTGTTTGTTTACTTTTTGTTTGAGACACAGTCTCCGCATGCAGCATTGGCTGACCTGGGTATGGATATGTAGACCAGTCTGGTCTTGAACTCAAACAAATCTTCCTGTGTTTGCCTGCCAAGTGCTAGGATTAAAGGTATACACACAGATAGGATTTATAGTCTTAAACTTGAAAAGATAGCATACAAAACAATGGATTTCATTTTGACACTCCATAACCATGCATTATTGACCTCTGCTCATCTTCCACCCTTCCCAGAGCCCTCTATTTGTCTCGTCACTTCCTCCTCTCAGTCTTCGTCCTTTCTCCAAATAGCTCCAGTTCATCTACCTATATATTTATCACTGTATCTGTATGTCTACATCACCTGTATTTATTATCGATCATCTAAATATTATCCTTTTATATTTATTCCACATAAGAGAGAAATGTGCCATTTGTTTTTCTAGTTCTGGCATAATTTACTTAACATGATACTCTGTAAGTCCCTATATTTTCCTCTACATGACAAAACTTGTTTATTACAGTGTAGTGAAATATATATGCACATATATAGTCCATTTTCTTTCCTATTCATATGTTTATTGATATCTAGGCTGGCTCCATATCTTAATTATTGTTATTATTGCTGCAGTAGTCATGGATGTGCAGGTAGCTCTGCAGTATTTCCAGTGTGGAATAGCTTCACATTATGGTTGTGCTCTGTTTAGTCTTTTTGAGAAAACTGTACCTTATTTTCCATAGTGACTGCACCAGTTTGTAAACCCACAAGCAGGGAGTAAAGGATTTCTTCCTCCCGATATGTGACTGCATTAGTTGCCAGATTTCTCAATTATGGTCAATCTGACTGGCATGAGAGAGTATCTCAACACAGCTTTGATTTGTGTTTCTCCAGTGGCCAAAGTTGTTGGACATTTTGTTTCATATTTTTGACTGTGTGTACTTCTTCTTTAGAAAACTATCTTTTCAGTTCATTTATCATTTTTTGACTGGAAAAACTGTGATTTTAATGTTATACTTGCTCTATTTATTCTAGATATTAGTCTTCTGCTAGACAAATATCTAGCAAAGATTTCCCCCCACATTGTAAGCTGCCTCTTCACTCAGTTATTTGTTTCATTACTATTTTATTTCATGGAATCTCATTTTGTGAATTGATATTTTTATTTCCTAAACTACGTGCCCTTTCCAGACAGTCCTTGCCTATTCCTCTGTCTTGAAGTGTTTTCTCCTAGTAGTTTCAAAGCTTTAGGGCTTACGTTATGGTTATTGTCATTTAAATTTATTGTTATGGGATGGGACCGGCATCTAGGTCCATTCTTGTGATGTTTTCCAGGACCAGTATTAGAAAAGGCTGTGTTTTATCCAATGCATTGTTTGGACATCTTTTAAAAAATTAGATGGCTGTCACTGTGTGGGTTTATTTATAGTCCATCATTCTAAATAAGCTTTGGTGCTAGTATGATGCTATTTTGTTAATGTGGATCTGTAGAATAATTTACAAAGAAGTATTTGGTGATACCTCCAGTATTTCTGATGCTCAGGATTGCTTTGCCACTTTGGAGTCATTTATACATCTGTATACATTTTAGCATTTTTCCCATTTCTGGAAAGAATGCCATTGTCGTTTTCATCAAGGTTGATTCTTCAGCTCATTTTCAGCGACACGGCCATTTAAGCAATGCTATTTCTGATGGTGTGTGAGCACTAGAGCTTTACACATCATCCAGTGTCCTCTTCAATTTCTTTCAGCATTTCAGTTTTCCTTTTAGATGCCTTTCCTTCCCCTTCGTTAGGTTTAGCTATTTTATTTTTCTTTTGAAGCCCTGTGAATTTAATTTTCTTGCTGATATCTTTCTCATCATTTCAGATGTTACTGAGTTATTTTGTTATTAATTTTCTTAAGATTTGTGAGATGTATCAAAATTAATAATCTTGAGCCTCTGCATAGAAAAATAAAAAATAAACCCAAGTGATGTCCTTTGATGTTACTTTATTTCTTCTAAGAGATTGATAGTGTAAGCTTTCTCTTATTGCCCAAGTATATATGTGTATGATATATGTAGTTATAACATAAACATGTATGTATATATTACTTATGTACCTTATATGTTTATGTGTATGTACTGTCTATATGCCATATTTATTTACATACACATATACGTAAATATCTGATTTTTAAAGCCACAGGTTCATTATAGTAGTTCATAATTATAGGAGTTTATTAGAGAAACTGATAAAGTATGTTTTCCCCTCACCTTAAGAACACATCCTCTTAGATAAACAGCATTCTGCTATATGACCTGCTAGTCCTCTAGCCTATGACTGCTATTTAATTCTGGTCCTGTAGTTTAAATTCCTCCTCAAGATGTTCATCAGTTTTCTCACAATGTCGTTGCAGTCCAACACTTGCTATGCCTGCCTCATTCTAACTTGAGAAATTGTTTCTTATTACCAGCACAGTTAGTTTTTTTTGTATCACTGTTACTGTGATGGCTGAGGGCTTACACATGATCACTGCAGCTGGTATGCTGTCTACATCTCTCTGTAGGAAGATGACTGGGCTCAGTGTTGCTGATCTGTCTTAACATTGTGTTTCAGGCAAATTCATCTGAAATGACAGTTACTGTTTGTTCATTTCATTGCTACAGTTTTTTTCAAAAAAATGTATATCACTGAGTTTTATTCAGCTAGATTATTTTCCCACACACAATAGCTGTGTTCTAGACACTTAGAATAACATTTGAAGTGGCATGTCCCTCACCTTGTGGGCACTTTCCTGACTCTAAATGGAAAACACTAAAATAAAGGGCTGATGACCCAGTCACTGTCTTTTCATTTTTAAATTTAATTTTGGTATTTAGAATTAATTTTCTAATTAGTGCTGATTAAAGATAAACATTAAGTATATCATCGATTCTAAAT